CTGAGCGGGGAAAGGACAGAATGAGTTGGGTGTCGTCAGCGTAGCAGTGGTATGAAAAACCATGCGGGCTAATGACAGACCCGAGCGAGTTTGTGTACAAGGAGAAGAGGAGGGGACCAAGAACAGAGCCCTGAGGGACCCCTGTAGTTAATTGACAAGGGTCGGACTCGGACCCTCTCCAAGTAACCCTGTAGGTGCGGTCTTTGAGGTATGAGGTGAGGAGGGAAAGTGCAGTGCCTGAAACTCCAAGTTCTTGGAGAGTGCGAAGGAGGATCTGATGGTTCACCGTGTCGAATGCAGCAGACAGGTCCAGAAGGATGATGACAGAGGAGAGGGATGCTGCTTTAGCAGTGTGCAGTTCCTCAGAGACAGCAAGGAGAGCAGTTTCTGTTGAGTGACCTGCCTTGAAACCAGACTGGTGCGGATCCAGAAGGTTGTTCTGATGGAGATAACAGGAGAGTTGTTTAAAGACAGCGCGTTCAAGTGTTTTAGACAGGAACGGGAGGAGAGAGACAGGCCTGTAGTTTATAACATCAGACGGGTTGAGAGTGGGTTTCTTTAGGAGAGGGTTTACTCTTGCCTCCTTGAGACTGTTTGTTTGGAAAGTGACCAGAAGTTAGAGAAGTGTTGATGAAATGGGTGAGAAACGGTAGAATATCAGGAGCGATAGTCTGAAGGAGGTTTGAGGGGATAGGGTCCAGATGACAGGTAGTAGGACGGGCAGAGGTAATGAGGGTAAAAATCTCACTTGGAGAGAGAGGGGAGAAGGAGGTCAGTGTGTGGGTGAAAGGTGGGTCTGGTGACCCAGCGGTGAGTAAAGGTGAGTCAGAAAAAGAAGAGCGAATATCATCAACCTTTTTTTCAAAGTGGTTAACAAAGTCGCTTGACAGGAGGGGGGAGGGGCTTTGGGGGGGTCCAAGAGGGTGGAGAAGATAGAAAATAGTTTTTTGGGATTGGAATAGGAAGATTGGATCTTATCTTGAAAGAAAGTGCTTTTTGCCTGAGAGATGGAAGCAGAGGAAGAGGAGAGGAGAGCCTGATAGGTTAGGAGGTCGTCATGTCGTTCTTCCCTATGAGAACTGCTCATTGGCGCATGAAGTCAAAATGGCCCAACTTTTGAGAAAGCGAAACGTCGCAGATTATCTGTCATGCCTGGCTGTCAGAGCAGAATAACCCATATGTGCGCTCACAGAGCATGCGCCCCTTAAGCCCCACCTCCTGTCATTAAGCCCCGCCCCCCAAGCACCTACTCTCGGCTCACTAGAATAAATGGAGAGAGAAAATAAATCTAGATTTGGCTTTTAGTGCATTTTACAACTTTACGGACCGAATGTTTCTAATAAGGGCTATAAAATAGTTAATACTGGGTAGTTTATTTAGTTTCAAAAAAATTATCCACCGATTTACAGACGTCTCTTTCTCCATGTTAGTCAATGAGAAAAAGTATTTCTGGGCCGATCGACGTCACGGACTGATAAGGAAATTGTAGTACCGCCGTTTGGACACAACGAATATTTTCCTCAGAGTCCGGCGCATTTCCTGGGGGCTTGGTCTTGAGGTGGAAAATGCTCGATGCCAAAAGTGCAATAAGAATTTAGCATGTAAGGGCGGTAACACAAGCTATTTGTCTAAACATTTAGCAAAAGTGCACCACATTCTGACGGAGAAATGCACCGGGTTCGACTGTCTTTCTAGTAGCTCTGTAGCCCCATCCACGAGTAACGTTTCCACGTCAGGTGTTATGTATGCTAGCAGCAACACATGGAGTTAACTACATTATACAAACATGGGTTAATGATTAGAGGTAACTGAGTTATTCATTTAGTTAGTTTCAGCTATTCTGTTTACAGTTCTATCAGATTATTTAATAAGATTTGTTAAAACATTGTTTTTTCTTTTGATGTGAAATATTATGTATTTAATTTAAATAGAAAGCAATGTTAATTTTGTTCACAATATGTTTAGTTCATTTACCTTCTTTTTTTTTTCAAAAGAACCAATAAGAGTACCGTTAAAGGACCGGATCGACAAGCGGACAAACATTTCTAGACGATATTTGATACTCTGATCTTTTCATTTATTTTCAGTTTGCTTCAAGCAGTGGCTGTAAGAGAAAGACGTGGAGGACCAAGAAATGCTGGCCAGTTTGGCAAAGACCGGAAGATATGTAACAGAGAAGATAATCGATACTAAAAAGAAAGAGAAAAAAAATACTTTAATATTTCTTTTTATAATTTCTTTGTTGCTATTTACATTTTGAATTATATTTGTTATTTTTAAATCAAATGCATCTATTTTAGATTATATATTTATTTAGATGTAGGTTTTTCTTTTTAATATGATTGTATTGTTCATGTATAATTTATTAAATACAAATACTGTTATGAACACTATAGCCTACAATGTCTTTATTTGTAGTAAAGAATACCAGAATACATTGTATATGTAATACTAACATAAGCTGGTGATAGATAGATAGATACATCCCTGCTGAAAAAACCATGCTGGTCTATGCTGGTCTATGGTGACCAGCATAGACCAGCATAGACCAGCATACAAGTGACCAAAACACTTGCTGGTTTTGCTGTTCAACTATGCTGGTCTATGCTGGTCTTTTCAGCAGGGGTGACACAAGTGTTGCACGACCAGACAAGGCTTAAGGAGCTGACACAGATAAGGAAATGTATGATACATTATGATGTGATATGAATGATAATGGGACACATCGACGTCTGCACTCACAGTGCCGCGGACTGTACGTAATGTTACTTTGATTCGGTTATTTGTGTTGTGGCAGATATTTAATTAAGCTTTCTTAACGCTAATGTTATAATAGTCAGATTGCTCTGAAGATGGGAGGTGATATTCTATTCATTTTCACGTTCACACAGTCGGTGATTTTTGCCGGCCATCTTTCCTGCAACCGCAGTTTTCTATATTTCCTTTCTCCTGTAATATGACTTGATCGCTTAAAACTCCGCACACGGAGCTCTGATTGGTCAGCAGGTTAGCCGTTCAGCATAAGTTACCATGGAGATCTAGCCCGGTAAGAAGTGAACCAGCGTCGTAGGACCGGAAACAGAGTTTTCCCTGAAATTAGCTCGCTAAGCGAAAATCCGGCTTCGTAGTACAGGCCTCTGGTCCTTAGTGACTCCATCTGGTTGATGGAGCCACGGGGGAGGGGGCGGGTTGTTTGAAGAGGAGAAATGAGAGCAGAGAAAATTGCATATCTTATGAGGAAAAGCAGTGGAGAAGGTAAATGCAGGTTGCAGAGGGGAGTTTAAATAGTGGGAGGGGTTTAGGAGCAGAGAGGCTGATGGGTAGTGTGGTGCAAGAGAATGATGGGAGGCACTAGCACATTACCAGAAGAGTGGGAGAACAATCTGTAAATAAAGGCTAGACAGATGGTGGAGTGACTCACACACTGAAAGTTTTCAACACAAATCACACAGCCCTCTGAAATAACTGTTCCTGTTGCTGCTGATTCACCTTCACTGTTCATGAAACATAGAAATAGCAGCTTTGATGGCAGAAAGTGTTAGTCACTAGCTAAGATGAGTCATGGTGTGACATTATGTGGTAATAGTGGGGGAACATCCAAAGCGCCTGTTTTCATCATTAGCCCTTTGTGAAGATCATAATTAGCACAAAAAAATATATAATTAGCTCTTTGTGAATATTATATTTACTATGATTATTATAAACAGAACATTGTGTTAAACTTATCGTGGTGATTATTTTATATTCCAACTGTGCAGTATTTTACTAATCATTATAGCAGAAGAGTTATTCTCTGTCTCTATGGACGAATATATTGTATCACTTCTAGAGTTGGGAATCATTGCAGGCATATTACTTTGCAAAACATAGTGAAATAAATCAGTTCATCTGTATCTGATGTATAGTATTAAAAGGAGTTGGTGCTTTCCTAACTTCAAAACAATTATTTTAGGAATGTCCACTGTAAAAGTAGGGACATGCCATATTCTATTGTATACTCTGATGTGCATTGTACATGTAATTATTTTTATAATAAGACGTTGCCATTGAAAATGTCCATAAAGACTGAAATAATGAAATCTATTGATACAGCACATTTCAGCACATTTTATTTTCTACTTCAGTGTTTGCAAAACAGATTTAGTTTCCTTTGCTTGCTGATTATGCATTCAGCTGATCCCTTTGCACCATTTGAACAAACTGTTGAACCGATCCTCAGAAATAATAACAAGCTTATATAACTCCTGGAGATTATACAACGCTGCGTTGTGTAACCTGCCAGAGAAAGGTTTCCTCTCAGCTCTGAAGTTCCCCTTAACTGAAAATTGTGTGTGTGTGTGTGTGTGTGTGTGTGTGTGTGTGTGTGTGTGTGTGTGTGTGTGTGTGTGTGTGTGTGTGTGTGTGGCTGGCGAGTGCTCTGCTTTCAATGTGTTTTAATGTTTGAATTGACTCTTTATAATAATAATCCATCGGAAGTAATATATGTTTTGAATTTTGTGTAGATTAAATGAACTTTGACTCTTCTTGTTCAGTTCTTGGATTTTAAGGAAACACAAAATAAGAAAACGTTCACTCCCCCCATTCAGGACTTACGGGGGTTGGGGTTGTATTGCAGCGCGACCACAAACTAAAACAAATTGAAGTTCCACAGTGTTCTCCTGTCCTGCAACTCAGCCGGGCATTGACTATTAATGTAAGTTCAATTATATACGCCTTCTTATTTTGGTGCCAAAACTATTCAAATGTGAATAATACATTTGGTCTTAAGTGTAATATTTGTATCTTTCTCAAAATAACTAACTGAAAGGAAGGAGGGCTACCATCAATAACACATCACTGTAACTCCTGATTCCTACCATTTGAAGGGTTTTGTAAATAAAATAAAACGGTACGTCAAAGAGAAACCAGGTGACTATGGAAACTATTTAATGTGTTCCTCCTGTCCCCCTTCCACACCTCTGTCTCCACAGCAAGTACCAGTCGGTGAACGTCAGCACCAATCTGTATGTGATCAGTCAGCCGTGGCTCTACACTTTGGCCTGGTGTTCCGGAGCTCAGTCTGTAACCACCAACTCCATCCACATCCTGTCCAGCATCAACAAGCCGCTCTTCCTCATGGTGAGCGCTTTATTAGACATTATCATCCTGCTGTCCTGAGAAAGCTTCATGTCATATTCCTAAAGGCTGTTTGGCAGCATGAAGCTTTGATCTACAACATGGCTGTACCAAACTACTGTATGTCCTAGCTGTCTCCACAGTCATTGGCTTGTATCATTTCCTTTAAATATCACCAAACAGGATTTTGTTTTGCAATTCCAAGAAGTCAGGGAATTCCCCAAAATATGATCAATATTGATGCAGCAAAGGCAGACTTTGACTAGTATGAGAGTGTGTCGGCCTTCTTTGCCTTTATCATAAAGAGAGGGCAGACGGATGGGAGACTGACATGCAGCATTCTACACAGACATCAAAACATAAACTACTCTGAGAAAATACAAGTTTGATTTCAGTGCAGCTGAAATAGAAACATAGATAAGACCATTTGGAAAACCTTAGTATAATGATTATTTCATGTGATGAAACCTTTTTTTTTATAAATTGTAAACTGTACATACAGAAGTAGACTACACATTGTTGAAAAAAACAGGCCTACTTTTGCAGCCTTTTCACATGCTGATTGTTTGCTACCAGATGTAGTCTAAACTGTAAGAGGACATTCGTCCTCTTCTTCTGTCCCTGGACTGCCTCTAACTTCCCTCAGATTTAGGAGCTGCTTACAGCCTGTGGAGGGTTGGAAAAAAGTCCTTGTGCATTTATATTTTAGACATCTAGAATGTGCTGTGGCTCTCAGAGAGTAGTCAGTAGGTTAGAAGCTCTGCAGCAGGTAGCGTGGTGTTTGAAGGTTGTTCAGTCTGTAATCTTTTGGTATCACTGACATTCTCTCACCACCTACATCTCTAACTTTTTTATACAAGTACCTAAGCCCCAGACTTTGTGTTCAATCAAATAAATAATGATGTTCACTGTTCCATTATCAACCTTCTCTCCGACTCTCCAGACTCAAGAGGAATACAATTTGATGTGGATTCTGACTGATGCTATGTCTGCCCTGCTCATCATAGCAGTTTTCATATTCCATTGGTGCGTACAGACGCACACACACTCACACACATTATAATGATCATCTGTAAAGGTAAACAAAGAGAGGGGACAAGTAGCAAATAGAGAAATATTTTTTAGAGACATTGATATTCCATTAAGAGGTGTGTGTGTGTGTGTGTGTGTGTGTGTGTGTGTGTGTGTGTGTGTGTGTGTGTGTGTGTGTGTGTGTGTGTGTGTGACAGGTGGAGAGAGAGAGGCCTGCCCTGGTCCGGCAGCCGACAGACACATGAGAATGGAACGTACAGCAAGTTCAGGACAGGTGTGTGTTTCTCTTTACAGTGTCACTGTGGATTCATGTAATACCCCTTTTCAGGATACACTCAGTTTACTCAATACCAGTATCATTAATAGCAGTCACTATCAGTTTCATTCCTGCTGATCAGTACAGAGTGAGGCTTTGATGGAGCAGATCGTCTTCATTAAAAGAGGCAATCTGGTCATCTAAGCTAATCAGCAACACTCCCAGAGTGTAAGCGGATTAAAAACAAACATGGCCCCCAGCCCCCCGTTCCATCTGTACTGCACACAGGGATGAAGCTGGTACATGTGATGGACCAGCAGAGACATTATTTTATGATTCAATCCTTGCATGCATGTGTGTTTTAGACTCCTCAGAGGTCATCTGTTTTCGCTGGAGCCCCCTCCACTCTGACCCCCCTGCTGGAGCCCTGGTCTCCCTCCCTTTGGTCTTCAACCCATGACCCCCTGCATGACCCCCTGCATGGCGCCTCAGGGGAACCTTGTATGAACTCTGAACTTTGTCTGAACTGTACAAGCTGCTACTCTTACTGTAGGAGAGTAGCACCCTCTCTGAAGCCCACACAGAGACCTGTGGGATTTAAACAACTGAGAGGATCAAGAACTACAGAAACTGTTGTAGAAAAACCCTCCATTACTGTGAGAACCTACAGTCTGCCCCTTTCATCTCAGCATGGGTCCATACAGTAGATGTAGTCCGTCCTCCTCATGCTTCACATGAATGTCTTCTTGTTGGCATCTCTTGTGTTTCACCACCTGCTTGTTTACTCCCCCCCTCATTTATGTTTCTTGTGCACCCTTTCCTCTCTCCATTCATAGAGAGGCGAAGTCCCTCCCTTTCCAGTGGACCTCCATGGGACCTTATTTCGGAAAAATCATGTATTGAAGTCAATGGCGAGAGAAAAGTTATCTTTCGATCCCGTTTGAATTGTGCCATGAATTACACATATGATGTTTGTCAATTTAAAAGATAATTTTGCAAGTCAAAAAAAAATGATCGCTGGATAACATTAATGTTGGCAAGGACAAGGTACACAGAAAACTAGTTGCTAAAACAAAACACGAGTGTACCTTGTTAGCTAATGTTAGCTAGCTGACATTAACGTTGCACATTACACTCGTTTAACAGTCACAGACACCTTGTACAGCCGGTCCCGCATGCTGGCTCTTACGGAACCGACTATCCCTTTTGTGTAATAGGAGCTCTCAACATGCCCAGACGTTTAATGATTTCCATCTCCTTTAATACTTTTCACCTCATTCTGGTCTTGGTGACGTGTGTTGTGCGAGACCAGAGATGTAGTTCATGGAGCGGTTTCACACACAAATAAGTGTTACTTCACAGTTTTACGACAAACTGTGACT